TTGCAGGGGGCTGTTCCCCACTCTCCATGCTTGGAGATCATACCCTTTCAAGGCAGGGTGACCTGTCTCCAGTGACTGAAAAGGCATAAAGACCTGGCTCCTTCGGACTAACAAGGAACACTTGAGGTTAGCATTCTCTCCAGAGCTCCCTGCTGACTGGTCCAGGCTTTGTGGATCTGGCTCTCATGTGACTTCTTTCTCTGCTCAGTCCTGCTCTGTATGTTTCCTTTCACACATGTTAATTCCTAATAATATCTTGTCTCCCAAACTCTATCCAGCGTGTGCTTCTAAAGTACCTAGCCTTCAACACCAGACACAAATTCTCCCTTTCTCTCTCATCCCACATCCATTTTGTCAAATCCAGTTGGCTCTACTTAACAATATTTAGCCTTAATATTCACTGATGCCACCCTAGTCCAAACTAAAATGTGAAATGGAAAGAAGGTAAAGTATAAGGATGTGTTACTACAATAGCCACCCACCTGGTTTTTTACCTTCTCTCTTTGTTCCCCTTCAGTCTGTGCCCCACACACAGCCGAAGTACTTCTTTTAAGACTTCAGTCTCAGAATGTCACATTGCTACTTATAACTTTATAATGGAGTAACAGGCAGATTCCTTAAAAGTCTACATGGCCCTCCATAACCTGGCCCCATTGGGTCTCTGTCCTCAGCTCCTGCTACTCGTCCCCTCAGTCTCCACATCCAGGTACCCTAGCTTCTGTGCTGTCACTGAAACACTTCAAGCCTTTGTTGTAGATCTCCATCTGCTCAACTCTCTAACTTCCTTTAAGCCTTTGATAATACCTCACTTTCTCAGTGTAACATTCTACACAATTTACTTATCTACAGTGTTTACTGTTTTTATTTTTTCCCTATATTCTGTTAGTATATAAGCTTCACCAGGGAAGTGCTCAGTTACAACCCAAGCACAAAGAACAGTGCCAATAGTATTTTGGAGTAAATAAATCCTACATTCTGTAAGTTGACCTATGTAAAATAAAGTCACCATTTCAATCTAATTAGCAATCCCAATTTAAATGCATTGACTTCCTTGGCAGAGATGTAAAGGAATCTGAAGTCTGCTAACAGAATATTGTCCTGTTAATCAATATTTATTGGGAAATACAAGATAATGTTAGTGCGTGATTAGGTAACTGGATTTTTATTTACTCTGAATGCCAACCCAAGGATCTGAAAACCCACATCTGTTTATTTCATTTTGGTACACCAAATCACATTATAATTTTCTCTCAACTTACCTCAAGCTCATCGAGGGCACTTCCCAGGGTTGCTGCTTGAGGTTCTGGTGGGGCTATCGTATTCTGGATGCCTTGTGAAGCATTTGAAATTACATTGAGGGCATTCTGAATTTCTTCACAAACTGTGTCCTTGCTGGCTTTGAGGGAAGCAACATCAGAATGTTCCAAACAAGCTGAACAAATTGAATGCAATATGGGTGAGTTCTCCTTCAATGAGGCCCGGGCGCCTGCAATTTCATCCCTCTGATTTGGAGATTTTAAGTCCTGAAGAGAGAAATAAAAAGGGAGGTTCCTTATACTGGGTTACGGAAGAAAGATTTATATAAAGAAGTTCCATTTTTCTGCCAATACAAATGAAAAGATAATAGACACTAAGAAGTGCTAAAAGTTAAAATCAAAGGCATAAAGTATTTCTACACTTCTCCTGATTCTGTTAAAGGTTCTACAATAGGAAAACTGAGTCAATTAACAAATAAAGGTCACAAAGGAGCAGATGTGTAATAACTGAGTAGATCTTACATTTGTCAGTCATATCCTTATACATCAGAAAAATAATCTGGCATTCACATTATTAAGCGAATTATAAGAGAGCTTGAATTACAAGGATGCTGATTATCTATTTCCCTAGATGCTGATGATTTCATTTAACCTTTTTGTTAAAACTAAACCAATTAAGTTAAGAATACTAAATTAAACCTCCCACCACTCAGCCATCTTCCAGTCTTTTTCAGAAATACTTGGTAATAAATTATTCCTGATCTTCCTTTCTTTGACATTTATTCAACAAATAATTATCCAGCACTTAGTATATGCGAGCCCTTGTGCTTACGCATCAAGTATGCAGAAGTAAGCACTCCTATCTTGTTCTCCTGAAGCTTATGTTCTTATTTGAGGGGGAGGGGGCCTACAGACGAACAATAAACTAGACAAATAAATATATAAGACAATTTCAGGTAGTGAAAAATGCTATGAAAAAAACACAAACCTGAAATGTCATAGAGACTGACTTGAGAAAGCTGCTTTAGCGTGTGTGGTCAGAGAATATATTTCCTCAGAGATGACATTTGCAGTAAATATAAATGAAAAGTGTTTCAAATGGTGGGAAGAGAGAGAAGAGAAAGTCCTATATAAGTGATACCTGATCAAAACTAGCTCAAAATACAATGAAAAACCCTGGCAAGCACTACTGTAACCAAGTGATGAATATTAACATCATCAGTGATATTATATGGAATTGTGCACTTCTTAATATACTGTGTCATTTCATCTGTCTGGAATTCCCTCCAAAAGCCCTCAATACCAATATAATCATGAGAATAACAACAAACAAAACCAGATTGAGGAACCTCCTACATATTAACATGGGCAGTATTCCTTAAGACAATTAGGGTCACAAAAAACAAGGAGACTGATTGATAAACTGTCACAAACAAGAGGAGACTGGGGAGACATGACAACTAAATGCAACGTAGAACCCTGGGTTGGACCCTGGAACAGAAAGAAGACATTCGTGGAAAAACTGGGGGATTCCAAGTAAAGTCCAGAGTTTGTTAATAGTAATGCATCAATGTTTGTTCATTGTGGCAAGTGTAAGATATTAACAATGGAGGAAACCAGGAGAAAAGTAGATGGAAACTTTATGTACTATTTTGTAATTTTTCTGGAAATCTAAAATTATTAATATATATAAGTTTATTTTAAAGAAAACTAATTCAAAGGAACTTGACAATAACTTATGCATTCTACATACAATATCTCATGTAATGCTTATAAAAATTCATGATAGATACTACTTCCCATTTTAAAGATGATAAAACTGAGGTCTAGAGATTAAGTCTTTGAGGTGATTGAAAGAGCTAAACGGTGGCATTTCTTGCATTGTAACCCAAGTCAGTGTGACTGCTAAAAGCCATGATCCTAACAACTGTGTTATGCTCTTTCCTGCATGGGAAAGATTTCTCTCATTTGCTACTATACAAGCATGAGGATCTTTATTTGTATAATGACTTACAGTTTATAAAGTGCTTCTAGATAGTATCTCATTGATCAACACAATGCCCTGTGAGGCAGTAAGGCTAGTATTATTAGCCCCATTTTAACTAAATAGGTATTTAGTCTAAGGAGATTAAAAGGTTGGTAAAAAGAACTGAAATGTAAACCTAAGTCTTCTGATCGCAAATCCCACGATTTATTCATAAGACTCTGCTACCTCCAGATAACGTTGCTTGAGGTTAATAAATGGCTACGCTGCTATATTTTTAGATCCTTCCTTTATGAAAATAAAGGCTGTCTGCTACTTCAGGCAGGCTTTGGAGGAGGTTAACTTTTTTACAAAAGGTAGGGAGAACAGTTAAAAGTAGCTATCAACCCATTGTTCATATTCACTAATTACCCAAGAAAAGGCACTTTGTGGTTTTCTTGGCCTGGTATGATTTCCCCCAATATTCCTGGTCTGGGTTCTAGTTGCAGCACTCTAAGCTGAGTAAGTCTTCTATTCTTTCAGTGTGTTTTTCCATCTGTAAAAACGGGGATAGCAATACTTCTGCCAACCCTCTCACAAGATTGGGTAAGCAGCACATCAAAAATGGAATATACCCAGAAAATAGTAGAGAATTACAGAAAAGGTATAGAATTCTTTTCTTCCTAAAATTTCTCAAACTTGGGGTACTGTTTTTGTCCTATGATGGTCTTAGTGATTTTCACATTCCCCACAATTTTATAGCACTACCTACATTTATCTCAGTGTGACTTTGAGGATAAATAATTTAATATTTAGAAAAGATGCACACTCCTCTGAGGAATAATGAAAAAAGGTATAAATATTCAGAAAGAGCTGAAGAAAATTCTCTGAATATTATAGTATAACTAAAATTAATTATAAAATTTCCTCTGACCTACATATTATACTTCTCTATTTACAATGACAGGGTCAATGTTTAGGTAGCTTCTTAAAGATGAAAGTCTGTGAACATATATTATTACAAAGAAGGATAAAGTTTAATCATGTCTTTTACTCTGATGGTGGCTATGTACATCTGACAGTTAATTGTGATAGCTTTAATGTTGTAGAGACTTCAGAATTTTAAAATGTCTAGTATATTTTGGCTTTTCAGCCTATACTTTGTTATCTCTGCACAAGGAAACTACAGAATTTTTATTGAGCACTGATATCCCAAATACAAGCCAACAAAGCCTATGAGAAAGGTTCAGTGAACATAACAAAAATAACATGTATGGCAGCAGGTGGAGGAAAGAAAGGGAGGTTACAGAGCTTAGGTAAGGAAAATTGAGAAGGCAAGATCATTTCTCCTAAAGGACATCCCCAAAGACAAATCTAACATAGTAAATGGGCACACAGATAAAAGGGGAACTAATGAATGGTATCCTTCTAAACAAAAGTTGTGGTGGTGTTTGTGGTTATTTTATTTTGTTTTAACTGATGACACCATAGGTTCAAAGGTTTATAGGTTTTCTATTTATCCTGTAATTTAAAACCAGGTCAAAATTAGGAATTAAATGGTAGGGTCCATTTGGGATTTCTCTGGGCAAAGAATTATAAAGAGTTCAGTTCCTCAGGGATTGATATTTATTTAATATCTTTTTTTAGTGCTCCAGAAGAAAAAGCTTACATGAGATTTCCAAGTTAAGGAGACATTAAATGCTTCCAGCTGATGAAAAAACACACAGATGGGATTAAAAAAGAAGACCTTACAAGTCTGTGCAAGTGGGTAGAGAAGCAACATATGAGTTTTAACCCTGGCAAGAGAACAAAATATATTTAGGAATTTTAAAGATCACAAAGTATAAAAATGGAGATCTCTAAGATATCAGTTAATTAATTCAACCATTCATTCAACAAATATTATTGAGCCCCTCCTATACAACAGGCAGTGTACTAAATGTTAGGAATGCAAAAGTTAGGGAGCTTAATAGATCAGAAGGGGAAAAAAACACATTTATAAGGGAGTTAAAATAGTTATTCATAGCAAAGAGAAAAGTCCCTCAGTTTTAGAAAACTGAAGAAAATTTATCAGGGAAGGCAATTCTTACACAGTGAGTAGAAATTATCCCAATGAACAAGGCAGAAAAAAACAGCAAGCAAAGAAAACAGCATGTGCAAAGGCCAGAGGCATGAGGGAGCGTGCAGGCTATGGCAGGTAGTACTACAAGTACATGGAACCTGAGCAGGAATGGTGATGAATCCAGCTAGAAGGGTAAGCAGGAGATACTATACATGCCATGCTAAAGAAGTGCAAAGCAACAAACTCAGATGAATATTTTCAAAGACTGATCTATCAGTGACCATTTAGTGATTAGATACAATGAAATTTAAGTCAAGGAAACCAGGCAGTAATGCGGGCAAGAGACAGTAAGTGCTTGAACACTGAACACTATTGCTAAGCTGTAGTAGGATGGATCCAGAAATACTTAGGTGAACATGATAGGACTTTGTGATACTTAGCTGGGGGGAGGGGGATAGGAGGCATTCAGAAGCGTCTAGAAAATTGTTTCAGCCATCGTGTACATAGTGATGCATTCACCAAGATGGGGAATATGAAATGAATAATGTGTTTGGAAGAGAAAGGTGAAGTACATTTTGTCATCTGCCAAATGTGAGATGACAGCATAATATCCAAATAAAAATATACTACACATGGACCTAGAATTGAGCTAGAAATTGAGATCTGTGAGCCACCAGCTCATAGATCGGAGCTAAAGTCCTGTGTGTGAAGGTTACAGGACCTTCACCCAGGATGAATGTTACAATAGAAGAAGTATCTGGGAGTCATCGTAAGTTGTGTCTTGAGGATGCAAACCAGAAGATCTTGTGTGCCAGCCCAGAAAGCTAAATATGTATTGTAAATTACCAAGAAGGGCATCAGAAAATACTGAACTCTCAAAAAAAAAAAAAAACCCCAAGAAGTAAGCAAAAACCACATGCAAACCCTAGCGTTTAGGACTCAAATTACTGTGGATAATTATGGTCACTATACTTTAAGAAAAGAGAATTGAATTTCTTTAAAAAGCATTTTGGAAGACAGGATGACTTCCGTGTGAGGGAGTTAAAAATATGGTGTCTGTTCACTTCAAAAAGGGGAAATTTATACTGGAGTACACATGCCTTTTAAAAAAATCTAGAAACCATGAGTGAATTTGACAAGTTGTTAATGGACTTCTTTACTAAATTTAGAAACAATACATCAAGGAAGAAGCTTTTTAGATTTTAGTGAAATCAATTAAAAATGTATCTACTCATATTGCTG